TTCATCATTTAGGTTTCTAAATAAAAACAATAAAAATGCAGTAACATTGTTAATATCTCATATACATTTAATTGTGTTGTTTTTCTCATGTTTTTAGGAAGAAAATACACCTGCTTCAGTGTTACCTGATGTTGTCAGGAGATCCCCATCACTGATTTTCATCCACTGTAGAAAGTCCAATTTTCCCTGAGCAGGAGTTGCAGGTGTGTGTCTGAGGAAGGTGGTGATGACGAACAAGCCTTGTGTATGACGTAATGTGCAGGTGAACCAGACGTCATACTCTTGTGCTCCTGCAACAGGCCAGCGCATTACTATTCCTCCAGTGCTGTATCTACGGATCTCACATTGTATCATGTTCTCACTTCCCTCCAAATAATGCCTCATATCCACTTCAGAGCCTAGGTGAAGCAAATGAACATGTATTGATTATTTAAAGAGGAAAGAGTGTAATAAGGTAACATTTTCAAATGACTTTTGCTCACCTGTGACGAGGAAGGTAATGGCGGGGTGTAAAGCACTGTCCCCATCTTTACCAAACTGAACTACAGCCTTTCTCTGGATATACTCGGTTTCTATGTGACCCTCTTTATTTACATGAACTTTCTCATCCATAAAACGGCAATGAGGCCAATGCACATCAGGAAGAGTCTGTGATCCACTTACACCTGGTTGAATCAGAAAATATAAATCCAATTTGCAATTTATTTTAAATGAAACCACAAGCAACTAAAAATAGTAGTAAACAGACGATATCTAAACAACTTCATAAAAACAGCTAGTCAAATGGTATTTCATGTATTTAAATTCATTTGTATCTAAATTTATAGATATTTAATTCTACAAATTTTATATTTATAATACATCGTATACATGCAGTAGACGAGAGCCCTACAGGATGAAAAGGACTCAAAATAAGTCTACATCATTATAAGTCTAAATGATAAATACCTAAGCATAGTGCAAGAACAAGGCCTGCAAAAGTACAAAACGTAATCTTCCCATGTGGACAACCAGCCCACAAACGTCCGAAAACGGCCATGTAACCAAGCAGCATGCTTTCTCTTTCGTTTCATGAAACTCTCGCGAGAAATAAACAAATGTATAAGAACCACCTTTACGTTTCCAAATGAAGGCGACAGAGCAGTGCGTCAAGCAGTTCAGCAATCTAGTTTAGCAACATTGCCTATACTATTGCCTTTTCTTTAGATACAAGTGCTTTAAAAAAAAAAAAAATACTAGTGCTTACTCATTAGACTAGTTCTTTTTAGTACTCATTGATTAGATAATACCTATTTCATAAATATTAGTACTTATGTATTAGATACTAGTAATTATTCATCATTAGATACTAGTACATATTTTAATTGTGACTAGTAACTATTCTGTTGTAACTAGTAATACATTTAAAATTTTTCTATTGATTTTTATGGGGTCTGTCATTGAGATATCAACTATTCAGCTTTGACTTGCCATAATCTTAAGTCGTCTTCCCAATGAACTAAATCCATCTTTTCTTTCCTTGGGGTTGAATCGTACACCCTTAACCCTGTAAGACCTGACATCCCCATAACTGGGATGTTTATTAAACTATTAGGCAAAATAAATAAATAAATAAATAATAATAAAAAATTACATATACATTTTTCCATGATATTTATTGTGTATCACATTTGATACATCAGGCATTTGTACAACTTTTTGCTAAAAAAATATGATTATTTTAATTACAAACATTTTTTCCCCTAAACATTTTGACAAAAGAGAACATTTCAGGCAGTTTATCTCTCTTTTTTTTTGTTACATTAAGCATTTTACAGTGTTTTATTATTTCACTTTGTGGTAGGCATACTAGTTTTAGTTCTTGTTCGAGCAAAGATGCACTTTAAATTTACACAGTACACAGAAGAAGGAAGTCAATGCTTGTGCATTGTTTTTTTTTTATCTCTGCCAGGTTTCTCCATGTTGGAAAATGATCAGGATCATGCCTTCTAACATTAAAAGGCACACTGCAGCTTGACCTTTTATGGGGTGCATGTTCAAGTACATGCCTAGGACTTTCTCAATCTCTTTGGCATTATAGACTTGCCATCTTTGAATATACTGTTCAGGTTTATTTGTTCTCCAGTGTCCTGTAGCATTTTATCAGTGGCAAACTATTTCAATACTGCACAAATACAGGGTCCAGAGTCCATAATAATAGATGGCAACTAATGTGCCTTAGAGCAGTTAGGGGAAGATGATCAGGAGGGATGGAGTCCTCAGGCCATGCATGATGATGATGGTCATTCAGACATGCTGTGAAGAGAAAGATTATCAAGAAAAATATACAACAATACAAACACAGGACACAGTCAGAAAGCAGTGGCTCTGAGTCCTCTGTGCCTTCCTCAGCAGATGCAATGAACTCAACAAATGTACCATGATATTGTATTTTATCCATCTGTATTCTTTCCTTTTTGCATTGCCATTTGCTGACAGCTTTTCTGACCTGTCCTGTGTTTATGTAGTTGGGACCTTTATACTTCTGTGCTTGTCTAGACAACACTTTCTTCTTGATAATCTTCCTCGTCACTGCTGTCTGAAAGACCATCATCATGCATCGCCCGAGAAGTCCCGCTAACTTCTGTCACTTTAATTGCCATAGACTATTATGCTGATGACATTTTCAAGACACTTTGATTTTTCTATCATCTTCCTCTATTTTTTTGACATCTAAAAAACACATACATTGATCATATAGTTTATCTGTAATTATTTATTGTAAAAATACACAGAATGTATTTTAAATTGGTATTGCTATCACCTTATATTAATTTAATCATCCAAAAACAGTGTTTGCATTGCAGTAGGCATTATATTGATTACATTACAAAAATGAGACATGATTGTTCAGAAATAAAGCTCTGTATATGTTGTATCAAATTCAATATATGATTTTTAACCTAATTTATTTGCACAAAAAAAATAATAATTATTAAGTATGCTTTTTTTCAATCAAGAACCTTTATTTAATAAAATTAGTAACAATATAAATTTTATTCTTGCTATAACAACTTGAAATTAGCAAATAGTTTTTAGCCAAAAAGCATCCGAGTAATTCAATGAAAGTAGCTAGCAATTTTGAAAGGTTAAAACAAAGCCCTTCCACGGGCCTGCTGTGTCATGAAAATCCACAAGGGGGAGAATACAAGTATCGAATCATATACAACAGGTTATTAAACAAAGTATTCGCCAGGTTGATAATATATAGGTCTTAGATACTCGTGTATAAAATATGATACGTGCGGTTTTATAGGGTTAAAAATCATACTTTTTGTGTATGAAAAAAGGAAAGGTGTCTGGACGCAAACGTGATGCACATGCAATCTGAGCGGCATGCAATGCTTTTTAATGGGCTCACCAAACCCACCGCTACCCCTCAAAGTGACGTCTCTAGCTCCATTGAGTTCCTTTTTTTTTATTAATTCATTAAAATGAAAATAGTTCCAATCAAATGCATAACAAATCTTACAATAGGATATGCACATTTTAGCATAAATCATGCAAGTAAAATAACAGAAAGAAAGAAGGAGAGTAAAAAATAAACAAAGAACAACAGAGGGTATACATAACAATTACCAAAGAGAAAAGTAGAGGAGTATATTTACAGTTCTGGTTGCCTACGAATTAAATTCATTTTTAATCAGCCTTAAAGTGGGAGATATCAGGCTTCCTCTTCAAACATTTACACTTCCCACAATAATATTAAAAGATTTAACATAAACAATAGATTCTTATCTATCTACATAAAATATGGCATCTCTTTTCTTTATATTTATTCTATAACCACTCATTATATTAAATAGACAATCAACATCAAACCAGAAATATTTAATATACATGCAACCAAAAAACAAATGCATAATAACAGTCTTAACATCCATTCCACAAAAACCCCAGATTCAGAAAGATCAACTTTTTATCTCTTGAGAAAAAGGTTGGTTGGATATACTTTATGTATAATTTTAAAACTTTATTTGTGACACAATATTTGTTGTTACAGGTCCAGATAAAATTCCAATTGATCTTTTTAAATTAGTTATTCCAAATGACTTATGTCTAAAAGTTGCAGGACAATGAATCAAACTTCTAAGAAATGTATTATTACATTTACTATCTTTGATATCAATACCATCTAATAAAATCGTTTTTAATTGTTAGTTTGTTTGTTTGGTTCACTGTAATCTGCAAAAGCCTCACCAGGCCTGCTGGTATTTCATCAATTGCAATACTATAATCACGTGGAGGCACTGGAAAATTGAACTTCTCTAAAAACTCAGCATCGGTTAGTAAATATCCTTCATCGTTATTGAGTGCATTGTGCCTGTCATTGCATCATTGAGATATGCAATCTCAGCTTGCATCATAAAGGCTGTGTCCAGATATTGGAAAAAAAGCGCAATTGGGATAATACAATACTTTGGTACAAAGAGCCGTGCATGCATAAGTGGCAGGATTTTTAATTTGCTCCTGAATCTGCTTATTAAAATGAGGCTACTGCTCAGCCCAGATCTATCATCTACTGATTATTCTATTTTGGGTTTACAGCTTTAAAGTCATTGTTTAAGAAAGACTACTTCTTTATATCAGTCAGTGCTAGCTATATATATATATATATATATATATATATATATATATATATATATATATATATATATATATATATATATATATATATATATATATATATGACTTACCAAAATAAGCCTAGCTTTTCTGTAAGCTTGGTTTATGAAACAGGCCCCTGGTTTGTCCAATTCAGTGTTTTTTATGAATTGAAGGATTTATTCTATATATATTTTTAGCATTTTTGCAATTTTCCTATAAGAATAAAGAGTGCAGTTAGCTGTTTTAGTCAATACTGGAAAAAATGTTAATGATTGTAAACCAGCTTCCAACTCCAAATGCACACACAATTTTGAAGGTAAAATAAACAAAGTAATAAGGCTGTGTAGCCTAGGTCTGTCCAAATCATTTTATTTGAAGTGAATAATCACAACGTAATCAAGTAAACATATTGATGATTGTGTACAACCAAGTTTCATTGTCAATCTAAGCCCACTGTAAATACAGAAATGTTGTATGTCCTTCTTTCCACAAATCTTTAAAGCAAATGGTTGTAGTAAGAAAGAAATATCATTCACATTATTAAACCTACAATGCTGTATGAGAGGGCCTGGGTGAATTCAGGACAGGCCACTTAGTGTCTCACTCACTTCCCACAGTTTTTTGGCCACAGCATCATCCTGAGCCTTAGGCTCCACTTTCTGCACAGCGCAGTTGGAGAAATACCTGCCACTCAGGGATTCAATGCCCTCCTGCACGGCACAGTACAGACTTGTTTGCGCACCGGCTTCTACATCCTTAAAAAACAGGGTTGTAATGGGTTTTATCAACCTCCTGGTCATTTTACTGAGATTGCGATTTAAATCGGAGTTTACAGCACCTGGTAAAACAAAAGTATGAATATGGAAGATTAGCACTGCAGAATATGCTAACTAGTGTCTACATATGAAAACAATCACTCATTAATTAACAATGTTTTTAATTACTCATTCCAATCCCCTGAGACCTTCAGTCATCCTCAGAACAAAAATGAAGATATTTTAGATGAAAGCTGAGGGCTCTCTGATTCTCCAGACAAAAAAAGTCAAGAATTTAAAAGATTTTTGAAATTAAAGGTCCTTTATGTTAAATTTGACTCATAAAAACCATAAAAATACCATAATGTGTTGCAGATATTTAAGAAACATGATAAGTGAACATTCTTGTTTATCTGGAAAACAATTCTTAAGTCAGTTCTTCTGCTTTGAAGATGTGCGTTCAGTGCCGGAACGTCTGTCTGTTTTAGTACCTACAATCCACCAATTGCAAGTTTTATTAATTCATTTTCTTTTCGTCTTAGACCCTTTATTAATCCGAGGTCACCACACCAGAATGAACCGCCAACTTATCCAGCATATCCAGCATTGTAACCCTGTCCTAAAAACACGCTACATGAAGAAATTTGCAATGATAATCAATTGGGTTGTTTGCACCAGACGAAACACAACAAATTTAAACACAGCCATTCAGAAGCACAGAATATATGTGCACCGCACTTCAGTTAAATGGTTAGGATTATAATCTATACATATTAAACCTCTTTAACATTATTAAATGAGAATCGCTGATATTTGTTGGCTTGCACTGAGTCACAGTTCTAATCTTCAATTTCAAATGGTTTATTTTATTCTCAAAAACTGAGGTAAAATATCTGGTGCTTTTAATATATGCCAATACATATCATGTAATAGGGAACTTGAACTCACATTATTAGAATTTAACAGTGAATAAAGCACATGAGGTGTACCTGAGGTGATCATTGTCAGTTTTCTGTTGTTCAGCTGCAAGAAATATAAGTGATAAACCCCGCCTCCTCTATGTTAACAAACAACGCTTGAGTCCAAATAAAAAAAAGTTAATTACACCTGTAATAAAAAAAAATTCCGAAAGAAGGTTTTGGCAGTTGAGGCACTATTCATCATGCTGATATAGGTTCAGATCTTCATTTTTATAAACAGTATGTTTATGCTATGAAAATAGGGCATGTCATCATGATTGACAGTTGTGATTGACTGTTTTTTTTTTTAAGCGGGCTGTCTAAGCTTCAAAAGAAATTGAGGCATCAATGTATGATTTCTGTGTTATGGTTAGGAGGCCATGATGGACAGAGGCCAGTGGGCAAATTTGACCAATATGCCAATTAAACCCCTACTCTTTTTTGAAGGACATCCTAGGATTTTTAACAACCTCAGAGAGTCAGAACCTCGGTTTGACGTCTCATCAGAAAGACGGTCAGAGTCCTCATCAATTAACTGGGGCAGTAAGACCCATACAGACCACAGGTTAAACGCCCCCTACTGATCTCACTATTTACATACAACATTTATCATTGGCTTTTTATTTTAAAACACCAAATCAACATTAAAATGAATGTAAATTCCTCTTTCAGTTATAATTAAGGCATCAAAAACGAAGGCAAAGAAATTATAGTAAACAATATACAAGCTATGTATATGTTGCAGCAGCTGATAGACATCATTTGACTTATTAATACTGCTAAGTTTATTGTAAACATTAAGGATTATTATTCTATATAGTGCAGGGAAGGGATGTGTAAATATCCTGTTGAAATTTAGAAATCTTGCTGTATCTTTATCTTTTGCTAATATAAAGGTACGATTTTTCCCCCATGGCAAATAGCTGTTCATGATGTGTGGGCTACATTTTGGGTCCTGTTGATTGTAAATTAAAATGGCATTTATTTGTGCATTTAATACGGAAACACTGCCCGTACTAAATGCACATGCTAAACTGATGCAGGAGTGAAGATATAGGTAAATAAAATCATTTTTACAGTTTTTCTTTTTGCACAAAAGCATTCTTGGAGATTCCCATGATTACAGATGAACCACTGAAGTCACATTTTAAAAAGTGGTTCCTTTTCTGGACTATAAATGTATCAGGATGTATTAAGGTCTCAGGGGATTGGAACGACATGAGTGAGTTATTAATAACATTTTTTACATAGGGTAAATTAATGATTTAAGTGTATTAGTATGATGTTGTAAAGACAGACCTGGATGGAGGCTGTAACAGGTGACATTGGTTCCTTGTAGTCTTTTTGCAAGTTCATGAGTGAAGAGAACATTGCACAGTTTGCTGTGTGCATAAATCCAGAAGATGCTCCTAGAAGTCTCACCTACTCCAAACTCTTTGTGAGTGCGAAGTGTGTCAAAGTCAAGGGTCCCATATTTATGCATAATTGATGAAACGGTGACAATCCGGCTTGGGGCACACTCTTTCAATCTGTCCAGCAGCAGGTTAGTCAGGAGGAAGTGGCCAAGATGATTGACACCAAACATAAGACCAAAGCCATCTTCAGTAGTGCCCTGCTTATAAACCCCTGAAATATCGATATATAAAGTTATATTTCTATGTGAAATATTGATTTGCAGTGAAATATTTCTTTCCAAACTAGCATCAAGATATCAGATGCAATAAAATACAATGTGCACAGTAAATATTGAGGTTTCTAATGAGTGAAACAGGCACAAGGCCAAACTATTAAAAGTTTGTTACGTATATTTCACAAGGTGTGAGAAAAAGCTTACAATAAATTTTAATATAAGGTAATATAGAAAAAATAAATTCTTTAAAATAAGCATTTCTTACAGTATCAACCTTAGCAATTGCATTTTTAACATTTTAAGAATATAGTAGTGCATATTTATGTAACTGCTATCATTAACAAGCAATAGTTGTTTAACAATTTAATTATTAATAAACACGGTAACGTTTTTCAGAGATTGTAATGTTAGTTATCAAATGGATTTATTGTAAAATAGGCAAGTTATGCTAGTAATTTTACCCTTGTTTTTAAAACTGATGTTTCTGAAAACATTCATAATATCATTCACACACACACACACACACACACACACACACACACACACACACACACACACACACACACACACACACATACGTACAATAAAATCGAGAAGCCTAAGGTAACATTTATGGAAATAGAAATAAAAGGTAGTTAGGGTGAAAAATTAAACATTTACCAAACACATAATATTGCACTAACACAAGCAAGATAACTAAAAGTAAATAATAATGAACTGAAAAGATATAAATTACAGAAGAACCCTATGGGTTAAACAAAACAGCACCTGCATTGTTGATGAGAATATCAAGTCTCTTCTCTGTTTTGAGGAAAGTTTCAGCGAAGGAGCGCACTGATTTCAAGCTCGCCAAATCCAGCTGCATGAACGCCACATTTTGACTCCCACTCTCCTAAATACAAACAAACAAACGCAGAATGTTTACAAGATACACAACAATCATTACATATTATTAAGTGAAGAAATAAAGGACAATGATCTCACTCTCTTAACAAGCGCCACAGCAACCTCGCCCCGTACTTGACTACGGCAAGCCAGAATGACCCTCGCGCCTCTGCGCGCTAAATCCACCGCTGTGGCTCTTCCGATGCCAACATTACTGCCTGCACATCGCCAACGTGAAATACTTAAAATGACCGACAAGCGCCTTGTTTTATGGAAGTTTTTTCCTAACAAAATTAAAATGAAAATTCCAATGCTTAAAAGATCAAATGATAAATCAAATGCTCAAACTATAAATCAAATGCTCAAACCGACATTGCAAATGATAAATCAAATCCTCAAACTGACTCTGCAAATGATAAATCAAATGCTCAAACATACTTTGCAAATGGTGAATCAAATTCTCAAACCGACGTCTTCAAATGATAAATCAAATCCTCAAACTGACATCGCAAATGATAAATCAAATCCTCAAACTGACATTGCAAATGGTGAATCAAATGCTCAAACTATAAATCAAATCCTCAAACTGACATCGCAAATGGTGAATCAAATGCTCAAACTATAAATCAAATCCTTAAACCGACATCGCAAATGGTGAATCAAATGCTCAAACAACTCTGCAAATGGTGAATCAAATCCTTAAACGACTCCGCAAATGGTGAATCAAATGCTCAAACTGACATCGCATATGATAAATCAAATGCAAATGAGGTGTCAATCAACCAGCATAGGCGGAGCTTTAAGGCGGAAGAGTTTGTTGTTGACAACTACCGGTAGCGCTACGACTTTTTCAAGGCGTTCAGATTTGCGTGCACTAATCCACGTCGTATCCGTATAAACTCGTGAAAGAGAAAGCGAGAAATCTACTGATTCTGTCCACATTCTGAAGTGTTCATCAGAGGGGTACATCTATCACAGGAGGCCACGAGTTGTTTGAGCATTTGATTCACCATTTGCGATGTCGGTTTAAAGATTTGATTTATAGTTTGAGCATTTGATTCACCATTTGCGATGTCAGTTTGAGGATTTGATTCATACGGAACCCCGGAAGGGACGTAGTGGAGGAGAAAAAAAATGGGTGGGTAAAAAAAAATAATGGGTGAAAGAAAAAAAATGGGTGGGTAAAAAAAAATAATGGGTGAAAGAAAAAAAATGGGTGGGAGGAAAATATATATTTCTAAGTTTTTTGCGTTCTCTCGCAAAGTTTTGCGTTCCCTCGCAAAGATGTTTTGCGTTATCTCGCAAAGATGTTTTGCGTTCCCTCGCAAAGATGTTTTGCGTTCTCTCGCAAAACTGTTTCTCCACAAACACTTCCTGTTCACTGCACTCACGTAAACCCTCCCGTTTTTGCTGAAATTCTCCCGTATTTTACCATTCTACCCCACTTTCTTTACATTACTGTGCGCTGATTGTCGCCTTTCACTTTGCAACCTCTGAACCAGTGAATGCATGTTTAAGCGCTGACTGACAGACGCGCTCCATACAATAAACTGATCCCAGATCAGCGTCTGTACGCGCCATTTAAAGGGACACTTCTGTTATCAAACAAGTGCGCAGCAAATGAATCTCATGTTTTGTTTAGTTTGATAACAGAGGTGTCTCTGTAAGAATGCACAGATCTATAATGAAAGCAGTCCATTACTTTAGAAACTGTTTGTGCTCATTTAAGAGAAAATAAGCTGTTTAAAATAAAACATGCAGGACGGAGATGTTTCATATTATTCAGTGTATTTGTCTGTTTAAACATACACCCGCTCCTCTGTAAATGGCGTGTACAGACGCTGATCTGGGATCAGTTTATTGTACGAAGCGCGTCTGTCAGTCAGCGCTTATACATGCATTCACTGGTTCATAGGTAGCATACGCACAGTAATGTAAAGAAAGTGGGGTAGAATGGTAAAATACGGGAGAATTTCGGCAAAAACGGGAGGGTTTACGTGAGTGCAGTGAACAGGAAGTGTTTGTGGAGAAACAGTTTTGCGAGAGAACGCAAAACATCTTTGCGAGAGAACGCAAAACATCTTTGCGAGATAACGCAAAACATCTTTGCGAGGGAACGCAAAACTTTGCGAGAGAACGCAAAAAACTTAGAAATATATATTTTCCTCCCACCCATTTTTTTTCTTTCAACCATTATTTTTTTTTCACCCACCCATTTTTTTCTCCTCCACTACGTCCCTTCCGGGGTTCCGTAGATTCACCATTTGTGATGTCAGTTTGAGGATTTGATTTATCATTTGCGATGTCAGTTTGAGGATTTGATTTATCATTTGAGGAGTCGGTTTGAGGATTTGATTCACCATTTGCAAAGTCCGTTTGAGCATTTGATTTATCATTTGAGGAGTCGGTTTGAGGATTTGATTTATCATTTGCAATGTCGGTTTGAGCATTTGATTTATTATTTGATCTTTTAAGCATTTGAATTTTCATTTTAATTTTGTTAGGAAAAAACTTCCATATTGTTTGGTATAGAAAACGAAATGTGAAAATAGACAACAAATATAATCGTTTACCTGTAACGATGACGGTCTTGCCATGAAGTTTTACTTTACTTTTGCATTTCGCTCCCCGTACATACGCACGAATCGCCATAAACACCACAGACAGAATACCCACGATCAGCAAAGTCTCCTCCAACATCTTTTATCTAAAGCAATGGAGAGTAAAAGAAAAGTTCAAGCAAGGTTCCGGTGTTACAACAGGTGTTACACCATATTCTGTGACCGTCGAAATCTGTGACCCAGGGGGCGTGATATTCTGTGACCGTCGAAATCTGTGACCCAGGGGGCGTGGCTGCGTAAGCTACGAAAACTGCGTAAATGCCTATTAAACCAACGATGGCAAAGTGTATCGAAAACTTTTGTTTAGAATAGCTGTTTTTTCGTATTCAGATCATAAATGCTAACTTGCTCGCCCAGAATACAAGTGTTGTTTACATGTGCGTCAAAGATAGGCTAAGTTACAGTACGTGCGAGAACCACGCGCGTTATCAAAACCATAATTTCTCACTGTATAACCGTTCATGTATTATACCCAAAATCTTTTTTTTTTTTAATCTCCAAATTGAGTCTAATGGTGTTCAATCCCCTCAGCTATGCAGTGTAACAGCTGTTTTTGACATGAAATATATAGTAACAGAAATACAGCAGGGTCACGAAATATGATAAGGCTATTTCTATGGTCAGTTAATTATGATACTCCTTATATTTTACCCAAAATCTTTTTTTTTCTCTCCAAATTGAGTCTAATGGTGTTTAATCTCCTCAGCTATGCACTGTAACAGCTGTTTTTGACATGAAATATACAGTAACAGAAATACAGCAGGGTCACCAAATATGATAGGGCTATTTCTACGGTAGAATAATTCTTATACTCCTTATATTTTACCCAAAATCTTTTTTTTTTTTCTCCAAATTGAGTCTAATGGTGTATAATCTCCTCAGCTTTGCACTGTAACAGCTGTTTTTGACATGAAATATACAGTAACAGAAATACAGCAGGGTCACCAAATATGATAGGGCTATTTCTATGGTCAAATAATTCTAATACTCCTTATATTTTACCCAAAATCTTTTTTTTTCTCTACAAATTGAGTCTAATGGTGTATAATCTCCTCAGCTTTGCACTGTAACAGCTGTTTTTGACATGAAATATACAGTAACAGAAATACAGCAGGGTCACCAAATATGATAGGGCTATTTCTATGGTTGAATAATTCTAATACTCCTTATATTTTACCCAAAATCTTTTTTTTCTTTCTTCAAATTGAGTCTAATGGTGTTTAATCTCCTCAGCTTTGCAGTGTAACAGCTGTTTTTGACATGAAATATACAGTAACAGAAATACAGCAGGGTCACCAAATATGATAGGGCTATTTCTATGGTCAATTAATTATGATACTCCTTATATTTTACCCAAAATCTTTTTTTTTTCTCTACAAATTGAGTCTAATGGTGTATAATCTCCTCAGCTATGCACTGTAACAGCTGTTTTTGACATGAAATATACAGTCAAAGAAATACAGCAGAGTCACAAGATATGATAAGGCTAATTTTATGGTCAAATAATTCTAATACTCCTTATATTTTACCCAAAATCTTTTTTTTTTTTCTCCAAATTGAGTCTAATGGTGTATAATCTCCTCAGCTATGCACTGTAACAGCTGTTTTTGACATGAAATATACAGTAACAGAAATACAGCAGGGTCACCAAATATGATAAGGCTATTTTATAGTGAAGAATTCCAGCACAAATTTTACCTTGAGTAATAGTAAAAAAAAATATCCAAGTTCTCTGTCACAGAAGGGGGACTGAGACCTGAGCTGGGTGAGTAAATTTTACAGTTTATTGCGGAAAGTGGATTAACAGGTTATATGGCAAACAGGTAAAGTCTTTTTCCGTGTAGAGGGTGAGCAGAGGACCTGGATGGAATTAACTGGAGACTGATGGAGATGATGAACAACAATGAGATCAGGAGACACACACAACCAGGAGGGAACTACACTGGGAAGAGAGACGAAGACACTATAGGTACACTGGAATAGACAAGGTAAGTATAAAATATCACAATTGATATTACTGAATTACTGACCGCGAAAGTTTGTCCTTCTTGATGCAATAACACCTTACACTGAGTGAGGTACCGTGCAGGAATTTATGGTCTGGAGAGATTAGTGGAGAATGACGTGTAGGTGCATAAGTGATCAATATTTGGGTGATGGGTAACTTGCTGATTGGGGTGACAGTGAACAGGGTGAATCATGTGATTGGGAGTGGGGAGAAACTTTCCTGAATGTGACACTGTGGTGGTGTTTAATTAAATTTTAATCTAATCTAAATTTATTTGTTTAGTCACCCAATTCTGATATTCCACATTGAACATGGCTATTCTCACAAAAATCACAAATTTCAGGCTTAATCATTTAAATAAAACAATGAAGCTTTTACTTTTTGAAATATAACAATATAACACAAAAAAATTTTTTTACAAAACATTTTAAATATAACTATTTACAATTATTTTATCATTTTAATTTGTTGACAGAAAATCTACAATGTGCATGCTGCACATTGAAATTTTTTTTGGCAGTCTGGCTCTCCAGCACACCGCACATGGTACCACCGGGCACAACTATCACACTGGATCTGTATTAGCAAAAAGAATAATCCACAAACAATTTCAGGGGGAATATGCATGCATATATCCTTCTAACTATATCTCTAAAAATAACAAGGTCATAAACAGTCGTCACTTGGCCACTTTGGACCTAAAAATGTTATTTTCTTTCATTTTTTTTCTTACCCAAAGAGTTGTTTCTCCTTCCTCATCTATACTCCTCTCACCACAATAATGGCATAAGTCCGTAAGGCCATCTGGTATATATAAAACATAAAAATACACACAGAAACATAAATAAATGTTTAATGATATTAACAATGCATGCTATTCAAGGTTTTTTCCACAGATGACTATTAAACAGTTTGAATGGACAATGTGGTTACCTCAGAGAAGGCATTCAAATTGTTTAATGCACAGCTAACATTAGATTTATCTGCTTATACCATGGTCATTCGCCTGCACTATCTACTGTGAGTTATTAGCCCTCTGTTTATTTTTTCTCCAATTTCTGTTTAATGGAGAGCAGATTTTGTCAGCACATTTCTAAACAGAATAGTGTTAATAACTCATTTCTAATAACTGATTTATTTTATCTTTAACTAGACAGGTTAGGGTAATTAGGCAAGTTATAGTATAATGATGGTTTATTCTGTAGAAAAAAAATCTAGCCTAAAGGGGCTAATAATAAAGACCTTAAAATGTTTTTTTTTTTAATTAAAAGCTTTTAATCTGGCTGAAATAAATCAAATAAGACTTACTCCAGAAGAAAAAAAATATCAGACATAATAATATCTGTGAAAATTTATTTGCTCTGTTCAACATCATTTGCGAAATATTTAAAAGAGAAAAAAGAATTCAAAGGGCGGCTAATAATTCTGACTTCAACTGTATGTACAGTAAAAGCTGATGTTTGTGGAGTATACATACATGAATCTTTATACCAGGTGTGAACAGGGCTATTAGACAAAAATATTGTTGTGCTTCTTTAGGCAAAACAGTAGCTCAAAAATGTAGCTTGAGGGCACTTTGTGTGTGTGTGTGTGTGTGTGTGTGTGTGTGTGTGTGTGTGTGTGTGTGTGTGTGTGTGTGTGTGTATAAAATGTGTATTATGATCTGACACCCACAGTATGGACATTTCATTTATATTTATTTTCTAAAATAAGCCCTTTTCTCAACCTCTCATGCTTGTTAATTTCACTTTGAAGTGAATGAAAATAACAATTTGTTTGCTATAATATAATAAATACTGATTCAACAGGAATTTGAAAAAAAAGCTAATTTAGAAGAAAATTTAATTTCATGCTTTTATTTCTGCAATAGAGACCTCTAATAATAACATTTAAAATGTTTATGAATTGTTTTTGTTTTGTTTTTCTATACTTTGTTATTTCAGCTGTGTTCACTTGAATAGTACACAACTTATTTTTCGTAAGAGTATGTCATTCACCTGTCTTATTAATTACCTTATGTCTATTTATAGACCTGTTTCTGTTTAGTTATTAGTCTTGTGAATGGTTTTCTTTTTTTTTCAAGATTTTTATGATATCTTTTTTGTGCTTCTATTTCCTTTATTATTTGCATTTTTTTATTTTGACAACAGACAATCTAAACAGACACCTTCCTATGTTAATCCAAATTCTGTTTTTAGGACAATTTTTTAAACAAAAGTATATAATTCAACAACTTTACCACTCCCATTCAGCAGTGTCCTCTTCACTGCTGAGGCCTTGTTGGCGAACATCAAAGACTCCCCAGCCAGGATTTTTTCTGCATACTAATATGTTTCAGAATTATAACGGATTTGTCAGTATATGCTGTTGTACATAAATACACAAATAATGTATAAGCCAAATGAGTATTTTTACATACATGACACATGTAAAATATTTTGCTTTAACAAATACTAAACAGCAGACAGCAGTATAGCCAATGAGAGACAAAAACAAACTTACTTTAAGCACAAATACTCCACATGAACAGCTGTCTTTTTGGCGACTATGTGGAGCTGTGTCGGCTGTCCACCTGGAAGAAATTACTCCTCTTTTTCTCATTAATGCCCTAAAAAGGCAGGTTAATGTCAAATTATGGCAATTGCATATTTCAGTTTGTAATAAAATAGATTTATTTTTTAATTTACATATTTATAACTATATTACAATAGAAACAGATTATTTTGTTTAAAAAGAAATTAAAAGTTACATACATTTTTCTTTAAAAGTGGATGCATCAGAAGATGATGGAAGGCAAGTAGAGTTATGAGCAGCTGAAAGAAGAGGTGAGAAAGTGGCAAAAGGAGAAGAAGATGGAGGAGAGAGAGCAGCCAGAGGAGAGGAAGCTACTGGAGGAGAAGATGGAAAAGATGGACCAGAAAGAGCAGCTGGAGAATAGAGAGCAGCTGGAGGAGAATATTAAGCAGGTGGAGGAGCGACAGCAGCGGGAGGACAAGATTGAGAAGCTGAAGCAGAGAGAACCACTGGAAGAGAAGCTGGAGGAGAAAGAGCAGCTGGAGGAGAAGCTGGAGTAGAGAGAGCAGCTGGAGAAGAGAGAGCAGCTAGAGGAGAAGACTGAGCAGATGGAGGAGAGAGAGCAGCTGAAGGAG